AGCTGCTAATAAATATTTTCGTGGTTGAGTGACCTTTAAATTGTATTGTAGAATATTATGTCTATTATACATAAGCGCACAAGTCAATTAACCAGCTGATGAACACCTTMAAATATTTGTGTAATATYACTATCGATTTACATTAAAAAGTCTCTATTTTAAAAACCAATTGTAGCTAAGTCTGAATAAACGTTATTAAACAACCATTGCTTAATCTTGATAATATAGTTTCGTAGCTTGGGGGGAGGCGGGAGCTGAAGGGTATGAAAATGATTGGTCTATGAAAGTCACTAAAAAGTCTTAACGTTGGTATATTATATGATGTCCTATTAAAAAGAAAATTCATTGATATTTTTATTATTWTTTTTCTACATGTTAAACTTATGGATGAGTAAACCAGCGCTGTGTAAAAGTTGATCAGCCCCCTCCCTTACTAACAGAAGAAAGAATCCTGGCTATGCCACTGCGTCAATTCATTATTTTTTCTCCAAAACATGCACAGGTCTCGCTCTATTTTTATTTCGTATAACAAAATAATTAGTCATAATATTGATATACGAGCTATGCAAGTGGGGGATTAAGTCATGCATAAGTCTCGTTTTGTATTAAGCCTTAGTTTAAAAAGGAATAACAGGCAGGCAATAGGCACGCATTAAGGAAAATCTGGAGCATTCGAATAGGAGAAATGGCGAATTTCGAAGTTTKTGGGGTTGTTATGGATTATCCAAAGAGGAAGGGCGAAGTTGTCTCAAAAGTTTAATCTAAAAATTCTCATGCTCTTTATAGTGACATTTACCTGTTTGATGTGCTGCGCATTTGGTGCCCAYTCGAYTTCGGCGAGTGAAGATATGATATGCACGGCCACCATGGTGGCTGTGGCAAAAGACGCCACGGCCACGTGCGTAGGTACCATYGAGTGCGTAGCGACCAAAACAGGTACTAACGCGTAGGCGGCGTGCATGACCCCGCTGGTAGATAGCACAGCAGTTGCAGACGCGGCCACAGTGGCAGCAGACAACGCGGCCGCAGCGGGCCTAGAGTTCAATGCTGTCGGAGCAGCCTGTGTGAGGCAGAATGTGCAGGCAAACGTCAGCCACGCGACCGATACTGACAAAAACGGAGGTCTTATCACTGATTCGGCCTGTTAAGTTGAAAAAAAATATGATTTAATAAAAAATTTAGTCGTAGTACCTAATTAGGAACTTAAAGCTCAGGTCAAAATGGAATTTCATATATATATATATATTTTTTTTTATCTTGATGATTTGTCCGTAAAGAACATAATATAATTACTATGATTATTGATTACTGTGTAGCTTTTCAACCTCGTAGAATGAAGTATATAGACGGGTGATGCCCGTTTCCACCAAAAGTGTACCTTTCTATTTTCCACCAATAACCGTTTCCACCAAATAAAATTATTTACCACGTTTTTACAAAAACAATTGTATACTACTATATTCTACGATTGAAAAAAAATATATCAACTAATTATATATATATAAGTAGATACACTAACTAACTAAATACACTAATATATAATTTTTTCGATCCATCATTAGTATTTTAAATAAACTTATTACTGTATTAAAGATTTTAATATTAGAATAGTATACAAATTATTTTGGTAAATTAACCGTGGTTAAATTATAGGTAGATCTCATTTGGTGGTAAAGGGAAAGGTCTACTTTTGGTGGAAACGTGATACGCCCGTATAGACATAATATAGTCATACCTATCGACCGAGTTGAAGCCAACACAATTATAAAGCTCGTGATATTTTYGTATGCATGCACATCAATTTGTATTCCYAAAAACTATTTCTTATAACTTTTATTTCATTTGTTAAAATATACGATGATGGTCCAYGTGCATGCACGTTCAATAAAAGGTTCTATAGCTATGTTGGCTTCACAGACTTTTCGTATATTAATTTGTTCATTGATATCTAATCGCCCACAACATTGACACAGTATCTATTACAATGTTTATTATGAAAATACATTATTTTTATAATATTGGAGGAGTAAAATGGTTGAAAATAAAAAATGTTAATGTTTACAGAAATTGAACAACAATATTTAATGATAGG